CCCTGCCATTCCCTCAACCCTTGTGCTATTCTCCTCCCTGCAGCTCCTGCAGTCACAGCAGGAGACACGACAGAGCTGCGAATAAACAGAGCAAGGGGGAGAGGGGAGCACCCGCCGTTAAGTCCCCAGTCTCAAAGCAAGCAAATGTGGAATGAGGGTCTCCAACAGCGGGCTCTGGGCCTCTCTCCCCTGACATAGCAGACCTGAAATCAACTGCTTCATAAAAAGGCAGTTAAAAGATCGTGATTTACAGGGTTAGAAAAAGAGATACAGAATAATACAAACCTGAAATTAAAAATATAGTCATTTTGTTCCCCACAAAAAAGGGTTTTCCAGCCTAATTTATATACGTAAATTTTTAGGAGACACACACACACAAAACTGTTTTGTGCAAATATATTCTCCCACCCAGCAGTAATTTTTTTCCAGGGATGGGCAGGATCACACCTTATTTTAGATGGTCAGTAACAGGGTAATAATCAAGTTATTGGATTACAGGACTGCACTGTGCTTTACAGATAGCACTGCTCTGTTCAACAGAAATTAATAAAAATTCATACAGTAAAATGTTCAAGGTCACAAGGCGCCACTGGGACCTCTGACCCAACTAAGCAGGGCACAGCTATGAATCCAATGCTGGGAAATACACGGACCATCTTAACGATGAGACAAATGTAACGAGGTTTGATGTGCAGCGGCTGCAGCAGAGACCTGCCCTGGACATGCCTGTCCCCCCTCAAAACTCTGGGCCAGGATGTTCCCAAGCATAGGGAAACGCTTGCGGTCGGCATGGGCTTTCCCAGGTGGAAGAGGACAGGAGAAAGCGGAGCTCTTCCGCGCACGGCCTCCCTGGGAAGAGCCAGACGTTCCCAGCCGGCAGCCCGGCACACGGCCGAGGAGAAGGGAAAGCGGCGCTCCCTGCAACGCGGCGCGCGCTTCCCGGAACGGCACCAGAGCGGGGCGGCCGGGAAGGGCACGGGGCACGGGCGCAGGCCGGGCCTTGGCAGCTCTCCACGCCGCTCGCCCT